GCAGAAAGCAACTACTGGATTATTACTAAACAACAGACCAGTAAAATTACATATAGATGTTATATGTATATGTGTGCGTGTGTGTGTCTGCATGTACGTGTGTATATACGTGTGTATATATGCATACACACACACACACATATAAAACAAACCTGCTTTAGGACGTGTTGAAAAAACTGGCTCAAGATAGGAGAAATTTAACTTGGAACTTTACCTTATAACATTTATAAAGGCACATTCTCTATATATTAAACATGAGAGAAACGAAGCTATAGAGCTAGTACAAAAAAATTATAATAAATATATTCCTGAATTGATGCAGGCAGGAAATTTAAACAATAAAAGAAAATTCGATACACTTGATATCAAAGTTAAGAATTTCTGTTTAACATAGGTCATCTTAGACTAAGTTACTCATCACTTAACTTTTACTTACACTTTGGCTATTATCTAAACCAGGAGTGGTGGCTCACACCTGTAATCCCAGCACTTTGGGAGGTGGAGGTAAGAGGATTACCTGTGCCCAGGGGTTTGAGACCAACCTGGGCAATTTGGCGAGACCTCATCTCTAAAATAAATAAATAAATAAGTCTGGGTGTGGTGGTGCGCACCTGTGATTCCAACTACTTGGAAGGCTGAGATGGAAGGATCACCTGAGCCCAGCATGTAGAGGCTGCCAGTGGCTGTGACCATGCCATTGCACTTCAGCCTGGGTGACAGAGTGAGACTCTGACTCAAAAAAAGAAAATAATTATTATCTTAAATAGAAAATGTTTTCAAAATCTAAAATGAGCAAATTAATAAAGAGAACATAAAAAGAAAATTTCACAAATAAATTAAATCAAAAATAAATCTAGTAGATAACCCATCTAACGCAGACAAGGAAACTCAAATAAAACAGAAAAAAATTATGGGAAATACTATCATACTATTTTTAAAAAACCACAATAAAAATTGTCAGAGTGATAAGAGAAAATGGCTCATCCATGAAACAAGATATGGGTGTGCTTTTTAAAAAATAAAGAACAAGGAAAAAAAACTTGGATTAAAGATATAAAAAGAAATATTACTTTATCTGCCACAAAAGAAAATCATAGTCTTTCATCTAGTTCCCAGTTCAGAACTTCAAAGCACCTTGACTAATGTAAGGCTAGGCTCCCTTGAGGAAAAATCCCTGTATAAACACAACAATTACATGGTATAAATCTTCCTCCATTTATTCCCTACAAAGAGCGGTGACCATTTTGCTTCCCAAGAATATCAGACACTAGTTCTAAGTTGACTTGTATTCCAAAGACCCAGAATACCAGTCTGCTCTGTCAATCTAGATAGAAGCTCATAAATGTCAACTGAAAATGGAATTTTAGGCCCAGTTGGTCTCATATGGGGCCACTGATACAACAGACCCACCCAGTACTTATTTCACAGTCTGTTGAACTAGACATACTCATCCAGTGCACAATCCCCATACTAGTTCCCCAACTCATAGAATGAAAGTCGAATCAAAATTCCTAAAACTACCGCTTCTGACATCATCTCTCTGGGGAATTCATCATATCTCTGGGGAATAGCTGAGATTAGCCATTATCAAAGACACAGAAAATGCAGTGAAGGTGACTCCCAGCACTTCACCATTTACCTCACCTGTTTGACTGGTCTGTGCAAACTGAGATGGACTTCAAGAATGGTTGGTTTATCACAGAGTCAGAGGATGACTCCAATTACAGATGCTTCTTTGTAGCTGGTGACTAAAAGAGCAAACCAAAATATGTTCTGACATCTGCCACCCAGCTAGTGATCTGGCAAATTCGTGTATCTTTTCACCAGTTAGTAAAGACAATCAGAAATATTTCACTTTCAGCTGACAAGAACAGCAGTATCCCTTCACTGTTAGCCCTCATGGCAATTTTTCCTGTCTATGAGAGACAGGATCCTTGATTGTATAGATATCCTATAGGACAACGCTGACAATATTGATCACATCATTCTAGATGCCTTAATAGACCTGTGCACGCCTCTGGTGGCAAAAAAAACCAAAACAAGCAAACAAACAAAAACATACTGACATTTCAAGTGCTTGACAACATAACAGGGTTTCCAAATTTGTTCAGGATCTTATTGGGACATTTTTCTAATATAAAAGGCAAATTTTTGCACCTAAGATAACACTCAGAAAGAGGCACAGTGCTTTTTGGATCACTTGGCATATTAGAGAAAACTTACTATACACTTGGGTATGTTGCACTAATTCATACATAGAGTAGCTCAAAAGAGATTTATTATAAGAAAGAAACAGCCCTTAGGTTTTTGCAAGCTGCAATAATGTTTGGTCCAGATGAACCAGTTTAGCAATTCAATGGTGCCTGAAGTACAATATATCAGGTTGGGCTGGCTGGTTGGTTGCTTAGTTGCTTTGTATTACAGCCTTGGTAGAAAGTACACACTTGACCATGACTATGCAATCTGAGATGCCCATGATGAACAAGGTGCTATCTGATCTGCCAGCCTATAAGATTAGGCTTATACAGAAGCAATATATCACCAAGTGTAAGTGATCTTTTAGAAATCAGGTTCAAGTAGGTAGACAAAGTCCATGTAAGATGCATTAGAAGGTAGCCCAAGCTCAGCACGTACTCCTGCTACATTGCCTCACCATCTTCAGTTGAAACTAGGGTACCTGCATAATCAACTTTTGCATACCTAACCCTGAATTTTACCCCAGGATTATTTATTTATTTATAATAAATTTTAAAAGAGAAAAAAGAAAAAAAGAAAGAAAGAAAAAATTTAAAGAAAATAGAGGAAAAAAAAGAAATTTATGACCTCATGGGAAATTATCAGTTGATGAGGGATAAATAAAGTTTAGGGTAGTTTATACATAAATCTGCATAATATATAAGCAATAAGCAGAAGTATAACACCATGGCAATGAAGCCCCAGTAAATAGTGGTAATAAAAAATAATGTAAAATTGAAATTTTTAAGTGGCTTCAAGTGGGGGGAAGGCCAAAAAAACAGAATTTATTTATAAAATACTGTGTATTTATTCTTACATGTGTGAACACTAGACACCTTCAAAGTACTCTCCATTTGATGGAATATACCTATTAAGATGCTTTTTCTACTGCACAAAACAGTTTTTGAACTCATCCATTTTGATGTCTTTTAGTACTTATGCTGTTTTTTGTTTCACCTCTTCCACAACAGCAAAATGTTTCCCTTTGAGGACTTTTTTCATCCAGGGAAACAGAAAAAAGTCACCTGGGGTGAGATTAGGTGATTAGAGATGGTAGGGCACAGGAGTTAGGCCATTTTTGATCAAAAACTGCTGTATACTCAGCACAGCGTGGGCAGGTGATTTCATAAATCACCCACCATGATGTGTACAAACATGTTGAAAGACTCAAGAAAGAAAATTTCACTGAAGCCAAACTCAGCCTTTCAACAACAACACTAGCTGGTACACTGATGACAACGAGTTCTTAGAACACTTACCTAGTGAGGAAAGCCTATACTACAAGGGACCCACCCTCCAAAGAGTAATACCTTTTTGGGGGGGAGTCCCACCTCATACTGTTGTTCACTTTTTGTGGCAAGAGATTGTCCTTTGATGGATGGACCCTGATTCATGGGGAATGGCTAATGCTGGCTGAATGGTCAGAGACAGAAATAACAAGTCTGCAAGACTGGTGAGAAGGAGTCAGCACAGATACTTTTAAAACTTTCCACTCAATGAGGCCCTCATTGTTCCTGAGTCTCTTCATAATATTTTACCTGCGTTAATTTAGTTTTTCTAGTGACTAAATGATGTTAAGAGTTGGATTTTGTTTGTTTTCCAAATGGATTGTTTTGGTAGTGAAACATGCATAATCTTTAAGAACTCAAACTTCTTTTCCTGGATTTTATTATAAAAGCCACCCCAGGCAGGATAGACTGATTTTTCAGTGCAAGAAATACCGCTTATCATTATTGGTATGTTAGATAACAAAGTATAGCTAATTTATGTACAAAGTTCTCATTCATTTTAGCTGTAGCAAATAGCCAGTAATAGCCTATATATCTACTCCATGCTTACAGGTCATCTGGTGTAAGAGTGAGGCAATTAGGGATGCTATCCCAAAGAGAAAGAAACAGATTTTAGATTATAGAGAGTAAGATTCTGTAAAGTACTTTACATATGAATTATCCATAAGGTATTATAAGAAATAATTATTTGAATTAATAAGTGAATATAAAATTCTGAAACACAGACTGAAATCTAGTATTTGACAGGAGATACACTTGTCAACCGAACACACACACACAGACACACACACACACACACACACACACACACACACACACACACACAAAATAATCTCCTCCAGTTTTAAGTTTAAGCACCAATTACAAAGCAAAAGGGCATTAAGGTAGGCTTGAATTTAGCATGTGAAATAGCCATGAACATAGTGGTAGAAATGCAAATTATAGAAGCCATCCCTACTCAATATTTATCATTTTAGATCAACAGGTAGCCATTTTTACCACTCCACATAAAAGGTCTTAAAACCATTTTTTAAATCCAATTATATTTTTCTAACAGATGCAAAACTCTCAGCAATACTTAACACATAATTTAAATTTATTCTCTTTCTGTCTTGTACTGTCCTAGAGTAGCCACCAGGCAAATGCAGAATTTAGATTAAAATTGATAAGATTAAATTTAAAACTTTGATCATCAGTCATACTGGCCACATTTTAAGTGCACAATGATCACATGTGTCCAAGACCTGCCATACTATATTACAGAAAATTTCCATAATCACAGAAAACTTTATTGGTTTAAACCTATCTTCCAAATTAATAGAATAAGCAGAGTCACTGAATGTTAAAATTAATGAAGGCTGGCCTTGTTTTCTCCCACACTATATTTGATTCTATGTCATTGAATTTACTCTATTCTGTTGTAAAATTAATGGCTTACTTTCTTTTCTGTTTCTGGTTGTAAAACAAATGTCTTACTTTCTTCTGTTGGCAAGTGTCTCTTCACCATTCCTTGCAGGGATCTTCATTCCATGCTTCTCTTTGCTCGGATCAAAAGAACAATGGGGGCTTTGTGTGGGTGTTCTTACTGGACGGCCACAAATCTTATTTACCTTTTAAATAGAAAACATTAAAAGACAGTTAGAAGCCACACTTAACCTTTCGGAGAATGTGATGTTTCATAGAGGCCAAAACAATGACATATTCTTGCTTATTCCTCAATATTAACCTTTTATAAATATAAGATTTGTCATTTTTCAAACAGAAGAAAATAAATGTATAAAATGGCAACCATGATGAAATAAATGTATAAAATGGCAACCATGATAAATTGATGTCATTTATATAGATTGCAGTACACATGAGCAAAATATGCAAAATCAGGCAATTATATTAATAAACTGGCTTGCTTGTATAAATAAGACTATTAACCAAAATAGATATTAGTTATGGCTTAGATTTATATGTATGACTATCATATATTTACACCTACTTTAAAATGAAATAATTTGCTACCGAATGCATGGTCCTTTTCTAAAGGAGATCAAATGGCAAAAGCAAGTATATTTGTAGTTTTCTTCTTACGGCCCTTTCTTCGAAATGTCAGTATGTTTAACATAAAGATCTCATTTCAACCAGGCTCGGTGGCTCAGCCTGTAATCCCACGCCTTTGGGAGGCTGAGATCAGTGGATTGCCTGAGCCTGTGGGTTCAAGACTCTCCTGGGCAGCAAGACCTCATCTCTACAATAAATTAAAAAATCAGCCAGTCGTGGTAGTGCAAGCCTGTAATTCTGGCTACTTGGAAGGCTGAGGCAGAAAGGATCGCCGAAGCCCAGCAGGTTGAGGCTGCGGTGGCCGGGAGCGGCCACTGCACTCCAGTCTGGGCAACAGAGTGAGACTCCAACTCAAAATAAAAAAAAAAAAAAAGACCTCATTTCATAATAGTTCTTTATCTTCTTTCTCAATCTGGTGTGATTTCCAAGGTATTATAGTCTTTTAAAAAAAATAATTTATCCCCATGAAAATTCATTGTTTCTTAGTACTTATCTAGCAAAGATCTTCTTATAATTTACATAATTACTATTGCATAAATCAAGTAATTAACTATGTAAAGTATCAAAAAAGGATTTATATGATACCTTAAATACTTGAGACGATACAGTAGTATAATTTAAAATATGTAAAAGCATGGCCTCAGGATCAGAAGACTTTAGTTCTTGTCTTAGTTTTTTTTTTCTTCCTTACTGCTGATACCTCAAAAACATGACAGAACCTCTTTGAACTGGATTTCCTGATACGCAAGATGAAGAGGTTAGAATAAATTATTACAAAGTTCCCTTCATGTTCTAAATATCTTTGATTTTCCATGTCATTAGTATTAAATGACTATGCATCCATTCTTATTTTACCCACATTTATTTTACCTCTATAATAGTATTTGTAAAGCACATGAATTAAATGTTATAAGAGGGAAAAGACGAGTAGCTAAAGTCTCCCTTGACAGAGCTTTCACTTTAGAAGGAAAGGAAAAAAAGTAAGCTTTGTGTGTCAAAAAATGTGTTATGGATGTCAGCAAGAGGTGGAATTCTTTCCATATGCAGGTCATGGGTGAGGAAGGACATCAAGAGAGACCATTCTGGGAAAGGCTACTCCACTGGGATGAGACATTGAGCATCTGCTGAGCCTAGATATGTTGGGGTTTATTTAAATTCAATTAAAATATAAATAATTATTTGTTGTATCTCATTCAGTTAGATGCTAGAGATACAACTGTGAATAATGTATGGCTGCATGCACACAGTTGAGTTAAAAGTCACACACGTAAAGTAGCAATTTTAATGGAGCATGACATAAGCAACCATGGAATCACACAGAAGTTCGTAACATTGTACCACACAGAAAATGGGCAGATTAACTCTATTTGGGGTGCTTGGGGAAATGCCCCAGGAGACCATATCTGCACAGCAAGTTAAAGAAGAAACTTTATGTTTACTGCAGCACTGTTCACAATAGCAAGAATATGGAACCAACCATGCTGCCCATCAAAAGAGGACTGAATAAAATAAATGTGGTACATATACACGATGGAGTATTATGCAGTCATAAAGGAGAACAAAATCATGAACTTCACAGCAACCTGGATGGACTTACAGTCTATAACACTGAATGGTCTTTCACAAAAACAAAGAACTGAGTATCACATGTTCTCACTCATAAGTGAACCTTGAACAACTATCATAATACCATAAGAAAGGGATTGGCAGTAGTGGGAAAATGCCAGGGGAGGGAGGGGCACACCTCATCAACAAGGGTACCTGCATAATGAACATTTGTATACCTAACCCTGAATTGTACCCCACATCTTTAAAATTAAAAAGTTTTTAAAAAAAAGGGCAACCCCTTTGGGTCCCCTCCCACTGTGGGAGCTTCTCTGTCCTCTCAATAAGCCCTGCTTTAAAAAAAAAATACTGAAGAAACCTTAAAAAATAAAAAAGAAGGTGGAACTGGGAGTTTGTTGAGTGGCAAAAGCATATGCAATCATTCTAGGAGAGAGAAGGAAAGTGGAGAGGTGTACAGCAACTTACTATGCACATAAAGAACAAGATGTAGACAGTGTAAGGAAGGGGTATAGCAAGAGGTGAGACCAGTGTGCTGTAAAAAACATAAAAATCCACAATGTGGCCTGGATACCCACTGAAGAACTTGCAACAGCAAAAGGAGTACAGGCAAAAGGTTCCAAGCAGGGACACATTAGCTTAAAATGTCCACAAGAGAAAAATTCTCACAGCAGTAGTGTGGAGGGAGGGAGAACAAAAGAGTGGTAGACCCCAAACTTGTTGGCATCAGAGACTGTTTCATGGAAGATAATTTTTCTGCAGACCAGAAGTTGTGGGAGATGACTTTGGGATGAGTCAAGAGCAAAACATTTATTGTGTACTTGTAATACATAATGAAATAATTATACAGCTCATCATAAAACAAAAAGAGAGGCATGACGGAAGTGGTAAACAAAATAATGGGCAGGCCACACACAGATTAAAATAAGTATCGATTCCGATTTAAAGCCTGCCACCAGATGCAGCTGAACAATTGAAGGATATCAGCTCACTTGCCACTCACTGACAGGGTTTTGTTATGAGTCTGCAAGCAATTGACTTATTATCTCTGTGTGGTCAAACCTCACTGCTAATGTCAATCTGTATTTGCAGTCACTCCTCAGCATTAGCATTGCCACCTCAGCTCCATCTCAGATCATCAAGTGTTAGACCCTCATAAGAAACATGCAGCCTAGATCCCTCACATGTGCAGTTCACAATAGGGTTAGCACTCCTCTGAGGATCTAATGCTGCCACTGTACTGACAGGAGGCAGAGCTCAGGTGGAAATGTGAGTGATAGGGAGTGACTGTAAATACAGATGAAGCTTCACTCAGTCGCCTAAAGCTTCACTCACTTACCTACCGCTCACCTCCTGCTGTGTGGCCCAGTTCCTAACAGGCCATAGACTGGTACTGAAGGACTCCTGCAAAAGAGCTCTTTCTGTTGGCTAGTGGAGAAAGTTCAGGCCCAAAGTCAGTGGAGAAGCAATAAAAAGGAAGAAGCAGACATAGGAGATACACAGAAGGAAAAGAAAGTAGTACCTGGAGACAAATTAGATACATAATCTTCTCAGAACAAATAATAATTGAGATCAGCCCAACTTCTAGATAAAACTAATAGTTAACAGGTTGTTTGTTTTGTTTTTTAATAATTACAGAAATTGACCTTCAGTCTTAAAGCTTAAAAACATCTGTCTTATCTGAGTCCCTTTCTTAGGAAATCAACCCTCAGGCCTATAGCATTAAGGAACTGAAACTCACTAGATCATCCCATCTAGACAATGAGATGCTAGACCCCTCTCTAATTCCTGTTTACCAAATCCTCTTCCTTATTCCTCCCTAATTCCTGTTTTCTATCTTCCTGCCCCACTATGTAAACCCTTGACTTCGGTGGGACAGGGAGTCAGAATTGGGAATGCATCTTTTATTCTCCTTGGTTGATTCAACCAAGTAAAATGCCTTCTTCCCTGGCAATACTCATCCCAGCAATTGGCTTTCTATGGGGTGAGCAATAGGACCTTGACAAAACCCCTAGCATTATAATTACATAATGATGAAGGGCAGAGGAATAATCCTGAGAGGGTAGAAGCAATAAAACAGGAGGCTGAAAAATGAACAATTTTCTTTTTGACCTGGAAAGAAGAGGTCTTGAAAGATAATAGTAAAAAGAAATTATGTATGAAGAGTAAGGCTGAGGCAGATCTTAGAGGACCCTAAATGTCAGACTATGGAGTTTTATTTATTAGATAAAAGCCCCCGGTGGCTGCTGAATGAAAAAGTAAAATGTCATAGCTAATGTTTAGTAAATGCATGAGGCAACATTTTAAAAGTTGGACTAGAGAAAAAAACTATTAAGGGCAGGGAAACTGGTAATAAACTCCTCAAGTAAGAAACTTTAATTTTGAACTAGAGTGGTGACAGTGTTCATGAGTTGAAGATAGAAGAGAAGCAAAATCATCAGGACTTGGCAAATGACTGTAAGAATATAAGGAAAGTATAAGACCAAAGTGTTAAAAGGCTCAAAGTGAATTTCCAATTCCTGAGACTGAAAAACAGTGAAGGTGAAGTATATGTATGTGTGTATATATGTGTGTGTGTGTGTGTGTGTGTGTGTGTGTGTGTGTGTGTATAATATTTTTTAGTACCTTGCTAATATATATATATTAAATGGAGGAAAGTATGTTCATTTTTAGTACCTTGCTAATATATATATATTAAATGGAGGAAAGTATGTTCATTGCCAAGTATTCCTAGTAACAAGAACCAAAGGAAGATGATATAAGTTAATGATGAAAATGTGAAGAATAAGATTGTTTGAAGGTACTACAGGACATGTATTTATTTATGATTAATGTTCTGTAGAGATGAGGTCTTGCTATGTTGCCCAGGCAGGTCTCAAACTCCTGGTCTCAAGCAGTTCTCCTACCTCAGGCTCCCAGAATGCTGGGATTACAGGTATGAGCCACCATGCCCAGTTAGGCATCTTGAAATAAAAAAGCAGAGAGGAATGGAAAT